CAACAAACCCCCCCCCCCCCCTCCCAATTACTATTTCTTCATCAAGAAAGCAATTCTGTTCTAAAAAGCTTAAAGTCTGATAAAGAGCAAAAGGTAAATGATACAAAGGGGTTGAGGAAGCACAAAAAATAAGCAGTGAAATGGTATTAGTCATTGAGACAGGTGGTGGCTACTGTGTACTGTCTGCCTGATCCTTGTCAGTTAATGGTGTTGCCTGAAAGGGGAGGTCTGAAATAATTTTGTGTATGTTAAGGGGAAGGTCTGCCCATGCAACTGAAAGCATTAAGGTATCAGGCTAAAATTTCAATAAATCAGCAATTAATATTGCTATCTTTGGCCACAGCAAAGTCAAGAGACTACAGCTTAGTAATGTGGGAGAGGAAAACATGGAGATAAGCTATAAAGAACCAAACTCATAGCTTGTACTTAATGCAAAGATACAAAAATGTGGTAGAAATGAAAGCGAAGTGTGGGAAAACAGCTATCCTGGCAGGGTTGGGCTGTAGTTGATATCAAGGTTGAGCCCAGAGAGAATGTTGAGGCAGTGAATGTGGGTCTAGCAAGACTTGTACTGGGGCATGGGAAAACCATGCAAAAAAACAAAGTTTAACACACACGGCCAGTCAGCAGGAGCTTGTGGGATGGTCTAAGGGGATGGTCTAAGGGGATGCTGGGAGCATCTTACACCCTGATGGGGAAAGGTGAGGCTGGACAGGCCTTCTGATCAAAGGTGAAGAGAAATATGGTCGTTTTGGCTTCTGTCACCACACTGCTGCTCCGGGGAAACAGCAAACAGTTACACTCAGCCCATCCCCTTCCTCCTCAGCCCTGGCTGTCCCGGTGCCCGTTCCTCTGTGCTGGGGAAGGACGGTGGTCACACTCCACAAAGCTTTAGCCAACAAGCTAAACCCCCCCCGAGAAAAGTTATGAACCTAAGGATAAACTGCACTCCGGTGTTAATACTCACCCATGTGTTTGTTCTCTCTCCACAAGCCTGCAGAAAGTGGTGGGGGAGCAGCCAGAGCGTGATTAATGGAGGGTACTGGGGGGACAACACTGTCCTGCCCTCAGTAACTGTCAGGCCAGGGAACATGCCAGCTTCAGTGTCATGAAAAGGAGGGAGAAAAAAACCCACCTTAAAATCAAGGACAAAAATACTGCTTAAAGCGTCATGCTTTTAAAAATTCTGTTGCCGTCTTTTCACCTATACAAGTATTCTCCTGTGTAGGTTTGAAGCCGACCACCTCATTCTCTAGATAGACTGACTTCCACTGCCCCAGGGCTCTTCCCCAGTCAGGGCAATTTTAACCAGTCCAACCAGTTCAGTTCTGGAAGGAGAAACTTATTTTTAAGACAGAAAAAATTAACACAAGATCAGTTACAGTTAATGCAGAACAAAAATTTCTTAGCAGGAAAGCAGCCTGGTATCTCCTGTCCAGCTACTGAGTGACAGGTCTGGCACTTCAGGTAACACTGAACATGTTAACTGTTTCCACAGTAAAAGTTGGTTTTGCCAATATAGAGTTTTCAGGAGATAAAAGTGTAATTTGTTATCAGGTGCTCAGCTTGCTTCACTAGCAGAGGCTGCAGTAACACCTAATTATTTAGTTTTAGAGCCACTACGTAATAATTTTTAGTGACCTCAGCAAGGCTGCACACACAGGCGCTCTTCAGGCCCCCTCTCGAGCAGCAGCGGGCGCAGCGCAGCCTGTCCCCAGGGCTCCCCACAGGCCAGGGCTACTGCTGGGCTAATGCTGCTGGGTGGCTGCAGTGGATCAGCCCAGCTCTTCCTCTGCCAGGAACACCCACCCCATCGAAGGCAACTTGCCTGCACCATTTTGCCCAGGCAGTTGGGATAAGCTGTCAGACACGCCCCTTGAACCCCAACGGTCAGGAGAGCCGCGGGGCTCCCGCCCAGAGCGAAGCCTGTAACAGGAGTCCACAGGCAGGTACCTAAATTTAGATGTGGCTTGGGAGCTGGATTCCACCCTCTCTGTGAATCGTATCCCCCCCCCGCACTTGTTACAAGGGAATACTGGAGGATTTCTTCAGTTCCCATGGACTGTGATCACATCCCTTGTTCCACCTCGTAGGAGGGCAGGGAGAGAAGCATGGTTGCCCCAGGCAAGGTGGCCAGGGCTCACCCCAAGTCCATTGTTTTTCTTTTCCAGACCTCCGACACACCTACGGGCTCACTTTTAGGAACAGCACCCGAAAAGCTTACCAAAAGGAACAAAGGAGACGAGATTGTGCACTGTGAAAAATGCTTTAATGGTGCCTGTACAGCATTTGAAGTGACTTTGAGACAGGAAGAGGAACACAACACAGACAGAGAAGTTTTGAATGAAAGAGTTCATACAGCTTTAAACAAAATTTACAGGTGTTCATCTGCATAGCTTTTACTCTGCCTCTTCCTCAGCCTCCTCCTCAAACTCCCCCTCCTCCTCGGCTGTAGCATCCTGGTACTGCTGATACTCAGACACCAGGTCGTTCATGTTGCTCTCAGCCTCTGTGAACTCCATCTCATCCATGCCCTCGCCAGTATACCAGTGCAGGAAAGCCTTTCGGCGGAACATGGCCGTGAACTGTTCAGAAATGCGTTTGAACAGCTCCTGGATGGCCGTGCTGTTCCCAATGAAGGTGGCAGACATTTTCAAGCCACGAGGTGGAATGTCACAGACTGCTGTTTTAACATTATTAGGGATCCATTCAACAAAATAGCTGCTATTTTTGTTCTGAACATTCAGCATTTGCTCATCAACCTCTTTCATTGACATACGGCCTCTAAAAACAGCAGCTACGGTCAGATAGCGGCCGTGACGTGGGTCACACGCAGCCATCATATTCTTTGCATCAAACATCTGCTGTGTTAGCTCTGGCACAGTTAAAGCACGGTACTGCTGGCTCCCACGGCTTGTGAGTGGGGCAAAACCAGGCATGAAAAAGTGCAAACGGGGAAAGGGAACCATGTTCACTGCCAGCTTCCGCAGGTCAGCATTAAGCTGACCTGGGAACCGCAGGCAAGTGGTAACACCGCTCATAGTGGCCGACACTAAATGGTTCAGATCACCGTATGTTGGAGTAGTTAACTTCAGTGTTCTGAAGCATATGTCGTAGAGGGCTTCGTTATCAATACAGTATGTCTCATCTGTGTTTTCCACAAGCTGGTGAACCGAGAGCGTGGCATTGTAGGGCTCTACTACAGTATCTGATACTTTAGGGGAGGGTACAACACTGAAAGTATTCATAATTCGGTCTGGGTACTCTTCACGAATTTTGCTGATGAGGAGGGTACCCATGCCAGAGCCCGTACCACCACCGAGAGAGTGAGTGAGCTGAAAGCCCTGGAGACAATCACAGCTTTCTGCCTCCTTTCTTACAACATCTAACACAGAATCAACTAATTCAGCACCTTCCGTATAATGGCCCTTTGCCCAGTTGTTTCCTGCTCCGCTCTGACCTGGAAGAGAGCCATTTTCGTATTAGATTACGGTCACTGCTTCCTGCTTATTGCTTGCAAGCAAAGCTTAGGGGCATCAGGCTACAGAGAAACAGAAAAGCTTTCACTTCATCGAGCGCAGAGCTGTGGTTTCACACAAGCATCTCTGAAACGGCTCGGCAGATACTCGGAAAAATTCGTGATCAGCGACACAGCGGCCATTTAATTTCTCTGGATAGTATGGAGGAGGGCAGTGCGACTCGGAAGAGCAACGACCCCTTGTGCCTCCTCGGACCTGCTCTCCCTGCAGCTGCCATCACGCACCATCCGCAGACCCCCGGTATTTCGTGCCCGTCGTGAAGCGCAGGATTAACCCCCCTCCCGGGGCCGCGCTTGCCTCAGGAGCATGTGCGGCGCTGAAGCCCGCAGTGCAGCGTCCCTGCCCTGCCCACCCCACCCCGAGCCGGTTACACGACAGGTCCCTCCCCCGCTCCCGGCGCACTCACCGAACACGAAGTTGTCTGGCCTGAATATCTGGCCGAAGGGCCCGGAGCGCACGGAGTCCATTGTGCCGGGCTCCAGGTCCACCAGGACGGCGCGGGGCACGTACTTGCCACCTGCAAGAC